TACATCTACACACTTGTATATGTTTGCATGTATGCATCTTTTAAATTAAATGATTTCATGGAAATAAAACATACAGAAGAGTGCACAAACCGTAATTGTACAGATTATTGAAGTTTTACATATTGAGCACACCTATATAACCACTCCTCATAAAACAAAATGGAAATTAATCATCACTCTAGAAACCCAGTCTTATGATTATCTCTGACTCTATTCTATTTTCTTCCATGAAGTGACCCATTCTAACATTTATCACCCTATATATATTATGCTTCTTTTTGAAATTTATAAGTGTGGAATAAAAGAATAAATACTCTTTTGTATCTGACTTTTTTCACTGAACCTTATGTTCATGAAATTCATCCATATAGATTACTTGTAGCAGTAGTTTGTATATTTTTAGTACTTTATATGACTCCATTGCATGCATAAAGCACAATCCATACAACCATCTACTGTCAACGGAAATTTGGGTTGTTTCTAGATTTTGACTATATAATTCTGTTCTGGCCATCTTTGTGTCTTTAAATAAAATTTTTATTTTTAACTTTAAATATAAAAATACATACAAAATCATCTGTGAATAGCTATATGAATTTTCAAAGGATAAGCCCACCAATATACCAGTACACAGATAAAGAAATAAGTCATTGCTAATACCCAAGGATTCCCTTGTATACATCATAATTTTTTAATGACTGCTGAACACTGTGTATAAAAAAATTATAGAGGCTTTGAATTAAAGTTATGTTACTGGAAAGAGGATTTGTATTTTCTTCTGTTAAAATAGGGGCAGATCATCTTAATCCAATTAGAGTCTGAATGTTGGATTTAAATCTGAGTAAGGTCTGGTCTAATCCCCATGCACCATTACTCATGTAATATAGAACTTTCGTGATCCCAACAGAAAGCATGAGGTATTTACCAAGATCTCACTTTCTTGGCATCTAGGATATCACTTGATTACTGGACTCCTCAGCCCCATGACTGTTGCAAAACTGCTTCAGCTTCACTCACTCTTACTCACCTCTTTATGCTGAGTTTTTTAGCTTCTCACTGCAAATTGCTTGCAAATTAATAGAAATTGTGTCTGTATTTTTTTAAACAAAAATTGGATGATTCTCTCTTGACAGTTTCATCCTGCTTTTTCCTCCTACTTTTTATTTACACATTACTAAATATTTTAATACCATAGCATATTGGATTTTTTACTTTCCAGGTTAGGGTTCTTTCTGTGCCTGTGCTCTTAGCCTTCTGTGATCTGCCCCATACTGTGGGTCATGTGCTCTTCTCAGGGTTTGATTAGAGAGAGCGCTTTCCAGCTTGAGTTACACACGAAGATCTTCCTTGATTGTGCAAAAGTCATTGACCTACATAATATTTTGTAGTTGCAGCAGGCCAGGGATTTACCTTTTAACTAGATAGCACATACTACTGGTGAGGTTTACCTGCTTACCATTTCCATAGACTGTACGTTCGTAAGACAATCATTTCATGACTACTGCATGGTGTTCATATTTTTGGTTTAGATGTAAACCTAAAAAATTGCTAAGGTAGTATTTTCTGATAGCATTAGCTTGCCTTAAAATATCCATATGATATATCATGCTATTTTATAATATACTAGTTTTATTTCTAAACAGTAAGAAATATAAGCTACAGAAAAGGTACATTTCCGAGATAAAGGAGTGCATGTGTGTATAAACAAAAGCTTGTCACTCATAAAATGTGAACAAGATAAAGGTAAAACAATTTTCTGAGAGTAATCCTCCAGGAAATACTTGACATTTTCAAGATGTTTGCCCTTTAATATCATCATTTGCTTTTTTCATGTGTTTTTTGAGGTGTTTGAAAATTGCAAGCTT